GGATACAGATCAGTGGTGGGTTTCAAAAAATTTCGGAACCTCTTCTGTAGGTGTGGCCTGCTTTCCGGGTCCACTGGTGGAACCCCTTCTAACCGGTTCGGTAGATTTGACGAACCGGTTCTACCGAATAGGTGCGAACTGGTAGGAACCCACCTCTGATACTAGACCTCAGGGGAATTTCTGGTGCTTTAGAGACTGGTTTTTTCATACTATGTAAAGAGAATGCCCCCTAGGTTTGGCCCCCAATGCATTAAACACAATAGATGTCTCTGCTGCTGAATCTGCCAAATACTGCAATATTGCTCCGACAAAGAGCTGTATGTTCACATTTGACTTGGAGTATATCTGAAACCTCTTGGCGGGCATAGCTTATCTCTTTTGTGCAGGACAACATTATTTGGGATGGGCTGATTTAGGTGTCTACATGCAAAATACTGTAAGGGCATTGGAAAATATCTATTATAACTGTGGTTACAGACTCTTCTAATACTTTGGTGGAATGTCCAAAATTATATTTTACAAAGTTTAATGCAAAATACGCTGTATGCAATTAGAATGCTGCATATTTGTGAAATACATCCTTTTTCCACTGTTCGCCACCGCTGCAAATTCTTTTCGCCTTTTCCTTTCAGGATGCGAAGACGTATTGTATCGTTTAAAAAACGTTCGGGCGTTTTGTTAGCCTTATCAGGGTTGATACGCAATTGCAGAAGGTGTATATTAAGTACGTACTCATCGTGTGGCCAACACTAGTTACTGTTAATTATCCTGTTTCGTGTGAGCATTTAACCAGCATAATTCTTGCACAAGAAAAGAATCCTAATTTAGATTTATTTCCATTTTGTGCTTCCCTATTACAAGGCATTTCACAAGTAAAACGATGAAAGTGTTGTTGCTGAAAGATCCAAAGGAAACTGATGGTGGACCAGATTCTTACATAAAGGTGAGTAATCTAACTTTTCACTAAGAATTGAATGATTTAAAAAGAACCTTCCAGCTTTGTCTAGCTCAGACAATATGTTAGTTGTTTGTGCCTCTTTTCAACTGTCTTTTGGAAATAATATTTTACAGTTCGTGGCAGGCAGCTATGAATTAAGGGCTACTGTCGTGACATCAGTAAGCCAAAAGTAATTGAATGTGTGACTCATTTTTATTGTAGAATTGTATTCTATTGTAGCCTCTCTTTTCAACTTCATGGGAATTATTTCCTGAAAATGAAATACATGGCATTTTATCAAATTGATGTACCGGAGGTGAATAATATACAGATTATATTTTAAAGAAGTCTTCTTTGGTTTCTACCAAAGTGTCAAAAAATTGCTTTCTCCTACATAAGCCCTCAGAATAATTTATCAGCACTTTATGAAGTAAGACACATATTAACAAGGAATAGATAATGACTGTTTAAGATAAGGGCTGCTAATGCCTACTATTTATTTGGCGTGCTATTACACTGAAGATTTATTTCTTATGCTGCTTTCAAAATTCACTGTTCAGTATTTCAGCAGATAGAAAATACGTTAGACTATTCCTTGCTCAGGAATAAAGCTAGCTTTCATTACAGCAATCTCCTTTATTTGAATTAGAATGAATAGTAGAAGTGATGATTGATGCCTTTAATGTCTGACATTCTTATAATATTTTTGTTTTACATAAAGGAAATGCAGGGTTTTTTTTATAGAAAAGCTTCCCCATTTAACATCATACAGCCTAACTGTATTAAAATTAATTTTTAATGAAGTAATTACTTAGCATGTATAAACATGGGCAGGATTGTTAGTATGAATTCAGTCATTTTTCCACATCACAATGAAAACAGTTCAGAGAAGCTGTTGCCAAAGTCTTACACATATATTCTTGGAGAGTGGATGAAATATGCCTTTCGCTATTCTTTTCCAAACCAAAAACAATAGTTTTTCCCCCCCTGGCATGATGTTATTTATGAAATAATTTTTATGGCTATATATATATTTCTCTTTATTTTTGTTGCTGTTTGTTGATGTTTACATAATTTTTGAATTGTCTTGTTACAATACTTTAAGAATTTCCAGAAGTACTTGTAAAATGTAAATGCCTATCTACTGCAGTGGTGGGTTTCGAAAATTGTTCGAACCTACTCTGTGGGTGTGGCCTCCTTTGTGGGAGTGGCTTGCCGCCCATGTGACCGGATATGAAGATGCCGACGACACTTGTCAGAACCATCTTAGATTACCTCACACACAGCACTGGCATGCATAAGAATATGATGTAAACTTGTTTTTTAAAAGGCATCTTTGGTTTGCGTTAAAACAACTTCAACACACGCAATGTTCTGATTGCACCACAAACGCAGTCGTCATCCTTACCTTTCACAGAGGCCCTGAGTTTTATAAATATGAGCATGATAGTGTAGAACAATCATATCCAGGGACCAGTGGTGGGTTTCAAAAAAGTTTGGAACCTCTTCTGTAGGTGTGGCCTGCTTTCCGGATCCGCTGGTGGAACCTCTTCTAACCAGTTCGGTAGATTTGACGAACCGGTTCTACCGAATAGGTGCAAACTGATAGGAACCCACCTCTGATCTACTGCCATAAAATTTTCCAAAATCCATACTTGGACTGTTCTTTTCTCTAGATCAGCAAAATGACCCAAGCTCTAGAGCATTCCATCACATTTTCCAGAGGCAAGAAATCACAAGAACAGAAACTTGGGATGAAATACACCTCCATACTTAGGTTAGGTGTTACAGCTGAGAGCAGAATCAGATAGGTACTTGAGAGGAGGCATTTGTTAGTGAAAATATGTTAGTATCAAACTGCTTCAAACAGGTCTGATAACATAGGTCATTGAACCATGTGCCATAGTTAAAGCTCACAGGTTCCCGATTAGTCAAAAAACAAAAAAAATACTGCAATGTTTATATTATATTCTCATCTTTTCTCATCTTCCCTGCTATCTTCTCTTTATCAATTATTGTTTGTAACTCTTGATTAATGATTGTAACTATGATTATAACCTATGACTTATTACTTGCTATTTATATGTGTGAGCTTATGCACCAGAGACAAAGTCCTTGTGTTTCCGATCAGACACGGCCAATAAAGAATTCTATTCTGTTCTGTTCTGTTCTTAAATCCATAATTGTAGGTGTTTCAGTGGGTAATGGGCAATAATTCAGTTGGGATTCTTTGTTTCCATAAAAATATGTACTTCTTTTTTAAAGGAATTCGGTTCACACGGACTCAAAGCAACTTTAATTCCAGTTTTAGCATTTGAATTTATTTCTCTTCACACTTTCTCTGAAAAAGTAAGTTTTGAATTTTATTTGTCGTAATACCCCACGCTATTGAAACTATGCATTTACGTTTCTTTTCATTCTGTTTATTTGGTTAGCAATTTAAATGTTGATGGTATAAATCCTATTGAGGACAGGACACTTATAGTAAGTCAAGTATGACTGTACTTGTGTGAATTGTAATAGATAAGCAAAAATGTCTGATTCCTAACAGTTTGGTAATAACCAATTCTTCTAGCCTAATATTATTATTATTATTTAATTTTAAACACATCAACACATCAACAAAACCAAACACATGACTTAAAACAACATAGG